TAAAGTTTGGAGTATACTGTAGTTAACATTCTGATGTAGAGCAATACTGAAAGGCATTTTGGCTACCTACCTAGTGTGAATTCAGTGATACATTAAAATTCATAAGCAATTACATAGTTGGATAAAGTTTTTACATCTTAAAGTCATTTTAAGGTATGAACTCCTTGGATTTTTGTAAACTATATATATTTTTAGACAGTCGTTCCTCCTATATCATAAATATTGAACTTCTACCCAATTACAATCCCTAGTATTGACTGAGGCTGTAGGTCCAACTATATGATCTCCCACGTTCTTCACATTTAAGGTTTCCCTCTAGAATGAATTCCAATGTGAGGAATAAGCTACAGATGCTGATTAAAGTCTGTAGGACACTGTTTAAATTTGTATTGTTTCTCCCCAGTATGAATTCTGATGTCGTGTAAGGTTTGCATACTAAGTAAGCTTTGTCACATTCTTTATATCTGCTGGGCTTCGATCCAGTAGTAATTACCAGATGTCGTATGAGACACAAATAAGGATATACACTTTGACATATGCCTCATAATTTTTAAGGCTCAATTTTATCATTTTCAATGACGATTCAACCATGGTTAAATCTTTGGATGAAAACTTTATATTGCTTCTATTTCCCTTCAGAATGATTCCTAAAATGTTCAGTAAATTTGACCAAAGAGTAATGGCTTTCTCACATTTTTTACAATATAAGGCTTCCCTCCACTATAAAATCTCTGATGTAAATTTTAAGCTATGGGTAAACGCTCTAGCCCAATTCTCTACATCTGTAAGGTCTCTTTTTGTTCTGAGGTTGATCAAGTACAGTAATACATTGGCTTTTAAAGGCTTTTCACATTTTTCACATTCATAAGGCTTCTCTCCAGTATGAACTGATATTCAGTAAGTTCTCACAGACAGTCAAGGACTTACCACACTCCTCACATCTGTAAGACTTCTCTCAATTATGAACTCTCAGCTGTACAGTAACACAGGAACACTGATGAATGGTTTTGTTTCATTTTCTACATTTATAAGGCTTCTCTTCAGAATGAACTCTCTGATGCTTTGTAAGATCTGAGGAGCTGCCAAAGGACTTGGTGCATTCTCTACATTTATAAGGCTTCTCTCCAGTGTGAACTCTCTGATGACAATAAAGGGAGGAGGACTGGCTAAAGGCTTTGCCACATTCATTACATTTATACGGCTTCTCTCCAGTATGAATTCTCTGGTGGCTGGTAAGGTTTGATGACCCAGTGAAGGCTTTGCCACATTCTCTACATGTATAAGGCTTCTCTCCGGTGTGAACCCTCTGGTGATAATTAAGAGATGAGGACTTGGTAAAGGCTTTGCCACATTCATTACATTTATACGGCTTCTCTCCAGTATGAATTCTCTGGTGGCTGGTAAGGTTTGATGACCCGGTGAAGGCTTTGCCACATTCTCTACATGTATAAGGCTTCTCTCCGGTGTGAACCCTCTGGTGATAATTAAGAGATGAGGACTTGGTAAAGGCTTTGCCACATTCATTACATTTAT